GTCACTAGCAGAAATGGACAACACTTTCACTGAACTATTACACCTAGTTTTCACATTTATACACAATCACCTCAGAAAAAATTCACTTAAATTTAATTCACTTAAATCAGCAGTTTCAGAAGTTTGAGACCAGCCTGCTCAACATGGCAAAACCCTGTCTCTACTAAAAATACAAAAAATTAGCTGGGCATGGTGGCAGGTGCCTGTAATCTCAGCTACTCTGGAGGTTGAGGCAGGAGAATTGCTTGAACCTAGGATGTGGAGGTGGAACCTGGAAGACAAGAGAGAAACTCCGTCTAAAAAAAAAAAAAATTATAGCAGTTGTTCAATATAGATTAATAGAGTATTTATACTTTCATTTCTCTAATATTTGAGAAACACTCATAGACATAAATGCAGGAGCACCAAAATTGCTAGACTGAACTTGACAAGAACTCAAGAAGCTGTGTTCATTATCTTGCATTATCCAACACTGTGGATCTTCCTTTAAAGATCTATAGAAACTGCCCGGCTCAGTGGCTTATGTCTGTAATCCCAACACTTTGGGAGGCTAATTGCTTGAGCCCAGGAGTTTGAGACCAGCCTGGGCAACATGGCAAAACCCTGTCTCTACAAAAACTACAAAAATTACAAAAATTAGCTGGTAGTATGTGCCCATGGTCTCAGCTACTCAGGAGGCTGGCATGGAAGGATGACCTGAGCCTGGGGAGGTCGAGTCTACAGTGAGCTATAATTGCACCACTGAACTCCAGCCTAGTGACACAGTGAGACCTTATCTCGAAAACAGAAAACAAATCTATAGAAAGAATTAATAAGAGATTTGGAAAGCAAATAGTCTTTTAAATATTGACATATAACATTTATAAGAGTGACATATATATCTCTCTATTTATAGAACAAGTAGCTGAACATTTAGTATCATATCTTTCCTTTTGCCTGAACATGGAGGATTATTTATAAATAAATTTGAGAAAATATGTGCAACAACTGTTTCTAAAGAAGTTTACACCAAACTGATTTCAATGAAGTGGAAAGGAGGTGTGTTTCCTTGCACACTCTTGGATTATCATTGTTACCATTGTTAATGAAAAACATTAGTGAAAAATAACCAGGGAATAAAGTGCTATCATGATTGTAGAAGTAAAACTACTCTCATCTTCCTTTCTATAGAGATGGAAAATGAAGGCATGTATTAAATGTAAATCATGATACACTTTTGTCAGAATCAATCAATGGACATAAAGTTTCAATCGAACAAGATTAATAAGATTTGAAGGTCTACAGTATAACACTGTACCTAGAGCCATTAAACATGTATTGTATACTTAATATTTTGTTAACAGGGTAGATCACATGTTAAAAGTTCTTACTACAATAAAATAAAGTAATAAAGGAAAAATAAAACTGTAATAAGCCCATATTTAAGCACATGAACTAATGTTCTCATATCCTTTGACCTTAGCTTACATATAGAACACACACACCTACACACACACATACACACATAGACAACTTACTCGCTTTGAAGAAATCTCCATAGAAATAATAGGAACTGGATCCTGAAATTTTTAAAAAGGTTTCGTTTTTAAGAAAATAATATAAAAACATTTACCTTAATATGGTTGTAAATTCCTGAAATTACATTACTTATATAAGTGGTTCTGTGTTAAGTACTGTATAGCTTTCATTTTAGTAAATCAATAAGCAAATACAATTAAAATACAGCTTTCAAACTTTTTTCTAATGGGGTGGGCAGATATGCAGATGAGAAGAGCAGCAGGCAATCTAACCAGCTTACTGTTTGTCTCTGGAATACGGTTTTTGAATTTGCATTTGAATATTACTTGTGCTTTGGAAACTCAAGTATCTTTAAATAAAATAATAAAGTCAGAATGTTCTATTAAAGTAATTGAATCATTAAAATGGAACCACTATGTCTTTCAATAGGTGTTATTGCTAATAAACCAGGTGATCTTAAACATTTCAACCCAAACCTAAACAAAATATTTTTCTGTTGGAGTGATCATGGTGAATCACAATTAACCCAGGATTCTTTGAACAGGATGAATAACCTGATTTTCTTAGAACGGCACCAGAGGAAGGACAATTTATACCATAGCTTTGAGAACCAATATGTTGTTTTAGGATTGTTAAGTAAGGGTAGTGCATCCCCAAGGAACATAATAAACTCAGATCAGCTGTGCAAGTGGCAAACCACAGGGCAGGTGAAATCCACTCTGGGGATGATTACCCTTTGAAGAGCTGGTTGTTAAAAGGGAACATTTGATCCTCTATGTCAGTGTTTTCTTAATTTTTTTAAATTTTAAACTACAGAATCTTTATGCTTTCATACATTCATTCATGTATTCATCTAGGCAACAATGTTTCTTAAGAGTTTACATGAACAAAACACTGTGGTGAGTGAATATTAAACATATTTCATTTTATAACACGAAATGAAATCTTATGTAGAGTCCCAGAGTGCTAAATAAACAAAAGCATAGCTGCTCTGGTTGATATAGGATGGTGGTTAGCTTTGGGTGTGGCTCTAGGGCATCCGTGTTCTAGTACAGCAAAGGCAAAATGTACTGCTTTTCATTTATAAAATCTTTCACATCTACCCATTATAAAAATATATAGCCAATCCTTGTAATTCACAGATTCTGTATTTGCAAATTGGCCTACTTACTAAAATTAATTGTAACCCCGATATCAAGACATCCTGTGTTTTTCACTCATGGACACATGCATGCTCAGAGCAGCAAAAAATTTGAGTCACAGGACATGCACATTCCCAGCAGAGATGAAACAAGCTGTCACTCTTGCCTTCTTGTTTCAACTTTCATGGTGTAAATAAGTATCTTTTTCATGGAGTATGTAGTGCCAAGGTTTTCACATCTCTGTGCTTTTTGTTGGTGTTTTGTTTTTTAAAATGGTCCCCAAACATAGTGCTGAAGTGCTGTTTAATATTTCTAAACTCAAAAAAGCTGTGCTGTGCCTTAACGTTGAAAACTCTTTCCTTAGATAAGCTTCATTCAGGCATAGATTATAGTGCTGTTGGCTGTGAGTTCAATGTTAGTCCATCAGCAATATATATTAAATAAGGTGTCTTTAAACACAAACACACATAAAAGAAGGTTACGTATTGATCTGTTGATAATTATGTTACAATTAGAAATTTGCTGGAACATAACCCCTTATTTCCCATGAGAGCAGTGGTCAGTATTCACTAGTTCAGTGTCATAACAACTTTAAAGACCAAAACTGCTGCAAATGATGCAACTTGATATGTGTGTGTGTGTGTGTGTGTGTATAAAAGCACATATGTGTATATATACACACACACACATATATATGCACACACACACATACACATATATATACACACACATGCATCTATGTATGTTAGTGTATCTGAATATGTAATTGTTTTTTCATGTCTTTTTTTATCATTTTCTATTGTTTTTCTTTTTTAGTAAATTCTTTGTATAATTAATGCACTTAATAAAAAGCAGTATGCTTATCTTGCCACAGTGTTCACAATATGAAAATGTATTATTATTTTTTGTCAGTATTGATTGTACATTTCTAAAAAATGTGACTGTAATACTGGCTCTGAAAATTTATATGTAGTATAAATGTTAGTTCTTTATAGTCACAGTTTATTCACTGAAATTCTTTCCATGCTAGGTAAATATTGATCTCTCAGTTGAAAAGTCTGTAACAATCAACTACATGCACTAGAATTCGAAATAATTCTTCACTTATATTAGCTGTGAATCCACAACACACCTGTTAGGAAAAAGAAAATGGACATAGTATCTTTCCTATTTATATCTCACTTGTAGTCGTAATGCATAAATTTGGTCTGTATTTTTTACTCTAAATACCTTGAATATCTGAAGTTCTTCTAGAATTACTTCTTCCATTGATTCCATTTCTTGGTTGTAAATTGTGATTACTTTCAGCACAATTCCATTATCTGTAAGAAAACAAAACAAGAAATAAACTAGAATCTATGTCACAGTCTGGTTTTCAAACAATTAAAAACCATGTAGCCGGCTAGGTGCGGTGGCTCATGCCTGTAATCACTGTGGGAGGCCGACACGGGTGTATCTCTTGAGGTCAGGAGTTCGAGACTAGCCTGGCCAACATGGCAAAACCCTGTCTCCACTAAAAATAAAAAAATTAGTCAGGCATGGTGGTGGGCGCCTATAATCCCAGCTACTCAGGAGGCTGAGGCAGGAGAATCGCTTGAACCTGGGAAGCGGAGGTTGCAGTGAGCAAGATCATGCCACTGCACTACAGCCTGGGAGACAGAGAAGCCTTCATCTAAAAAAAAAAAAAAATAGCGACTATAAATTAAGATAAGATTTGACATCCAGATGCATGAAACATTTTTATCACTGTCAGTTCAAAACAATATGACTACTTATAAACTCATATTTTTAATTAGCAAAATTAATTTTATATGCCTGACCAAAAAATAAGAGGAAATAACGATTTTTCCAAATAGTTTGATCCAAAAATCAAATCATAGATTCAAAAATCAAAATGTCTTTTGGAATTAATAAAACATAAGAGAGATGCCAAATTATTCTAGCTACTTTTTCTGTGACGCATGATGAAGAAATTTTTTTTACTGAAAGCTACATTCATGGTACAAAACTATACCTTAGGGAATATTCCAAGCAACACACTGTGAAACTCACCATGTATATAAAACATACACATACATGGAATCACACACAGTTTTGGCAAGAAAAAAATCCAAGTATACACCAATGAGAGAAGTGTTTGCACCAATCATTTAGTCTCCATAATTATCATTTGGTTTTAAAGTTTATATTTGTATTTTAAAATTCCATCTCATTTTTATCATTCCTGATATTCTGAACTTGTTCCTTCCTATAAACATTTTAACAAAACATTAATTTGCCGATAGAAATAATTTAGTATAATGCTAGAGATAATTTAGAAAAAAAAATCACTTTTTGCATATTTATCATACTATTTCAGCAGTTTGTTGAAATATCAAGTTTTATGGATGAGTTCATAAAACTGGATTATAATTAAGCATATAACAGTCACCTGTATTGTACACTACCCAAAGGAAACAAAAAATTGTCATCATTTTAAAAACTAAGCACACATATTAAATACTTGACAATTATGTTAGGCAAAAAGCAAAGATGAGACTCAAATGATTAATTAGCAATTAGTGATTTTCTAATAAGAACCATATATGTATTGTATCAAAGCCGGTGTCTAGTAAATATTGGACAAAGTAACCATTATTTGTGGGACTTCTCGATGTTGTCCCCATTTTACATTCATCAGACATGTTCTTTTTTCTGAAAATCTGTGGTTCAATATGATGATACCTTTGAATTAAACATGGTGTATATGGCAGAACGAATATGTTTGATACTTCTGAAATTCTCTGGAATCACTTTGATCAATATGACAAGCAAGTATTTCTAAAAACATTCTTGGACTGTTATATATGACTTCTGCTTTCCAGGGCATTTAAAAATAACATATTAGGTTGGTGCAAAAGTTATTGCGGTTTTTGCCATTAAAATAACAGCAAAAGACCGCAATTACTTTTATAGCAAACTAATACTTTAATTACTTTTATCAAATATTAGCATTGATTATGCAACTGTAAAAAATTTTGTTAGAAGTCACTATGAGTGAGTTTATGGCCAATTAATTTCAAGTTTGCTCAAGAAATCTGATGGCATGTTAATCTCGAACCCACAGTGCAGAGCACATTGTTAACATTAACTTCCTGAAATGAATGAACAAAATACAGCCCGTACCAGGAATCAATTTCTAAGAATAAGATAGATGTTTTCTTGCTTAAATCTTTGTTTTAAAAAACAAAAGGATGGCCGGGCATGGTGGCTCATGCCTGTCATCCCAGCAATTTGGGAGGCCAAGGCAGGTGGATCACCTGAGGTCAGGAGTTCGAGACCAGCCTCACGAAAGTGGAGAAGCCCCTGTCTCTATTAAAAGTACAAAATTAGGCGGGCATGGTGGCACATGCCTGTAATCCCAGCTACTCGGGAGGCTGAGGCAGGAAAATCTCTTGAGCCTGGGAGGCAGAGGCTGCAGTGAGATGAGATCGTGCCATTGCACTCCAGCCTGGGCAACGGAGCAGGACTCTGACTCAAGAAAAAACAAACAAACAAGCAACAACAACAACAATAACAACAAAAAACCAGCAACAAAAGCCACAAAAAACAAAACGAAAATGAAAACAAAAGGATTATTGGAGAAGCCCAAGCACCAACATTAATATTAATATTACATCCTGTTTCCTGATCCAGGCTTATGCCAATATCTCTTCAGAGTTATGTATCTATGATTAAAGTCATGTATGATAGCATGCTCACTTCTCTAAAGATGATCAACTACTGTAGCAATTACTATGCTGAATAAAAAGAAAGACAATGAAAGAAAGAAAGAATCATTTTAAACACTTTAAAAAAGACTATAGGATTTTAAAACACTTCAAAGAATTTGCTACATACTACTCTGGAGGCTGAAAAATTTCAAGTTCTCTTGTACACGTTAGATCTAATGTATGGGTTGATTGAAATTACAAATTTATTTGAAAATATCACTTTTAGTATATTTATCATACTTTATTAATGCAGGATATTACGAGTAACATTTGGCTTGCTTGGTACAAATGGTTGATCTTGACATGGACTCATAAGAATTGCTGTGTTTAGAGATTTAGGTGAAGTTATTGTCCCAAGTTCCAAGTTGTTCACAAAATCTCCAGGACTCACTGATCAAAGTCAGTAATGGAGCCAGGAACCTGACAGAACTATTCTTGCTATGACACTCTGCTTCTAGTATGAGGACTTCTATTTGGAACCAACTTTGTTCATTAACATCTATTATTCATCTCTTTACTTATTCATTTATTCATATGCATGAAGTATTGATTATGTATAAGGAATTATGTACTATGCAAGCCCCAAATCCTCTCTTTGGCAGCTTCAATATTTCTCACATCTGAAAAAAACCACATTTTTGTTGGTCAAACCATGACCCTTCTGACAATGAAAGCGGTAATATTCTCAGACAATTGGCCTAACCTCTTACTATTGCAGTCACATGAGGTCTCTATTTCAATCTGTCTCATTTTGGATTAGGAGTGTGAAATGGGTTAATGGATGGACAGATTTGTTGATAGGTGCTTTTAGAAATACTATTAAAATTATTGAATTTAAAGGTCAATTTAAACGTCTCTGAGTACTTTCTCATCTCTTTA